TTCCCAGACTGGATGATATGTTAGATATGATGTCTGGAACCACTATATTTTTCAAAATTAATTTGAAGAGTGGCTATAATCAAATTAGGATTCGTCCAGGGGATGAGTGGATGATAGCTGGATGATAGCTTTAAAGACGAAACATGGTCCATATGAGTGGATGGTTATGTCTTTTGGGTTAACAAATGCTCCTAGCACCTTCATGCGAGTTATGACTCAGGTACTACGACCTTTTATGGGCAAATTTTTGGTCGTTTATTTTGATGATATCTTAATTTATAGTAAGTCGCTAGAGCATCATATTGACCATCTTAGTCAAGTCTGTCTCACTTTGAGGAAGAAGAAGCTATTTGCAAATCCCAAGAAATGTATTTTCATGACTGACCAAGTTATATTTTTGGGATTTGTTGTGTCTTCTCAAGGAGTTTCTGCTGACCCTCAAAAGGTTCAGGCAATTGTAGAGTGGCCCGAACCCTGGAGTATACGAGATGTAAGAAGTTTTCATGGGCTAGTAACTTTTTATAGGCGATTTATCAAGGAGTTTAGTGCTATCATGGCTCCAATTACAGATTGTCTGAAAAAAGAGAAATTTCAATGGTCCGAAGAAACTGCCACGACTTTCAAAGAAATCAAGCAGAGAATGACTGATGCACCTGTTATGGGACTTCCTGATTTCTCTAAGGTGTTTGAGGTTGCGTGTGATGCCTCAGGCATTGGTATAGGTGGAGTATTGAGCCATGAGAAGCATCCCATTGCCTACTTTAGTAAAAAACTTAGTGGTGCTAAACTGAACTACTCTACCTACAATAAGGAGTTCTATGCGGTTGTGCAATCATTACGTCATTGGCGACATTATCTTTTACCGTAAGAATTCGTTATTTATTCGGACCTGAAGCCCTTCGGTATCTTAACTCTCAGAAGAAACTCAATGCCAAGCGTGCTCGATGGGTTGAATTTCTACATGACTACACTTATACCTTCAAACACATGGCTGGAGTTGAGAACAAGGTGACTGATGCACTCAGTCGCCAAGCTTGTCTTCTAAACCGAATGAGTGCGGAGGTAGTGGGTTTCGAAAGAATCAAAGGGGAATATGAATCATGTCCCGACTTTGGAGAGATTTTTGTTTCTTTAAAAGGAGTGACTCCTGAGATAGATGGTTTTTTGCTCCAAGATGGCTATTTATTTTGATTTCGCAAGTTATGCATTCCCCGTACTTATTTGAGAGATTATCTTGTTTGGGAATTGCATGCAGGAGGTCTTGCTGGTCATTTTGGTCGTGAAAAGAATATAGAGGTTGTGGAAACTTTGTTTTACTGGCTAAGCCTTAAAAGAGATGTTGCGAAGTTAATAGGATAATGTCGCACTTGCCAATTAGCTAAGTAACGTAAACAAAATACTGGTCTGTACACACCTCTCCCTGTCCCAGATCGTCCCTGGCAGGATGTGAGTATGGATTTTATTTTGGGACTCCCTAAGACTATCAGAAAACATGACTCCATTTTTGTAGTTGTGGATCGCTTTACAAAGATGGCCCACTTCTTACCGTGTAACAAAACGTCTGATGCTTCTAAAATTGTTCGGATTTACTTTGATGGTGTGGTCAAATTGTATGGTTTGCCTAAAATCATTGTATCTGATAGGGATGTGAAGTTTATGAGCTATTTTTAGAAAACTTTATGGCACAAGATGGGGACTAAACTTTAGTATTCGTCTGCTTTTCATCCCCAAACTAATGGTCAAACCAAGGTAGTTAATAGGAGTCTAGGCAATCTTTTTGCAATGTTTGGTTGGTGAGAATTTAGGAAATTAGGATCTTCTATTACCCATTGCAGAGTTTGCATCCAATAACTCAGTCAATAGGTCAGTAGGCATGAGTGCATTTGAAGTTGTGCATGGTTACAAGCCTAGGAAGCCTATAGACCTTATTCCCATGTCGCATCATCCTCGGGTGTCCGAGTCAGCAATTGCTATTACACATTCATGATTTGCATCAAGAAATCAACAAGAAAATTCAAGAAATCAATGAACAATATATAAGTCCCATGTTGATTTACTAGAAGACATTTTGAATTTAACGAAGGTGATTATGTAATGATCCAGATTCGTCCGGAACGGATTCCACCTAGAGTCGTCAAGAAATTGCATGCTCATAGTGCTGGACCTTTTAAGATTATCAAGAAAATTAACTCAAATCCTTATGTAATCGATTTACCTTCAGATTTCGGAATTAGTTCGACATTTAATATTACAGATTTGGTAGCTTATAAAGGTCCCCCTTTTAACCTTAAAAATCCACTTCTGGATCTTGATGAGCCTACCCCCGATCCTTTCCTTTAGGGACCCCCGTTACCACCATTGCCTACTATTTTTATCCCATTTATAGCTGAACAGATTGATAGCATTCGGGATGACCAAATCATCTCCACTCGAGATGGTGGTTGCAGACGATATCTAGTGCATTGGAAAGGTCGTCTTGAATCTAATGATACATGGATTACTCGTGAGGACCTGCAGCGCCTGGCTCCGGATCTATTAGAGTATTATGAGAGCCAGTTAGAGCCTTACTCGACAGAGTCGAGTTCTTCCCACCCTGGGGGAATTGATGAGGAAATCGCACAGCCTCCACTTCGCACATATTTTCGCCGCCGTCGTCGTGTTGCCTCAGCTCATATGTGGCTTTGATCTTGAGAAGACTTGGAGTTTAGCTAGTATTACTTTTTATTTCCTCTTTATTGTATTTGCTCCATAATTTTAGTCCCACATCGGATATGGGAGTGAACTTGTAGTTGTTGAAGGCCTATTTAAAGAGGCTAATTCTATGAAATAAAGCAATGAATATTTGAAGAAAATTTTGTTTCATTTGTGAAACTTTGGGTAATTGATTTGATCTCTAAGATTGAGTCAATGGTGGTGAAGCCAAAGCCCGGGTTGCGATTCATGATCATATCTTGTTAATTTTTCAAACCCTAGCTTTCCCCAAATCTTTGTTCTTCCCCAAATTTCCCAAATCCCTTACATAAAACCCTAAAAATTCCCATCGTCCTGCAAAACAGGATCTTTACAATTCTGTTGTATGAGTTTGTTTAGTGAGTTTATTTTCTTTCTTTGAATGCTTCTTGACATCTATATTATCTTAGACAAATTCTGCGCTAAATGTACTTTGTACGATAACATGAAACAATATATTAGCTTGGCTTTCAACACTGTAGTATTGGATGTTAAGTAAGAATGTCTTTCGGTCAAAACTTATACGAGGTGGTCTAGCCATAGTCGCGAGTAGGGTTCACTCACATTGTGGCATGGATACATGTACCCTTTAGGACATGTGTCCTTGCACAGTGCAAATGAAATCAGGTATCAAGGAGAAACCCCGAGTTCGACCCTCAACTCGGCCAATTACGGAACCCCAGGGGAGCTTACGGGTAATACACCTGGCTTGGAATCGTGTAACTGGTCACTTGTGGGGGGGTTTAAGGAGGCTGAAACGCAAGCCAAACACTCCAAGCCTGATAGTACTGACCAAGTAAACCTCAAAGTTTGGGCCCCTCTTTCACAGCCCAGGCGCAAGTGAATAAAACAAAGTTGCAATGCCTAATAACTGGAAATTGGAGATTGGCATGCGATAGACACAAATTTACTATTGGCCTTGTGGACTAAGACCTCTAGCCCCAACCACTAGGCCACCTGCTGGGGGTGATAGTAAAAGTATTTAAAATACACTCTGCAAAAAGGAAGTGTGGCAAGCCAGAAGGACTAGGGTCCTTGGATTGAGATCGGGTGTACTGAAAAATGACACATGGATTTGTTAGGAATTCGGGTCGGAGTCACAGAGCCAAGGTTTTTTGTAATTAGAATTTAGGATTTTGAAGAGGGGAAAAAAAACAAGAACGCACCATGATTTCAATTATTGGATTTCACACCTAATCACACATCCAATCATATGTGAGGAAAGAAAAGATGATGTTCAAACCCAATACAATTCCAATTGATTAGCCCTCCCCTTTTTACAAGAGAAGACTTAAAGCCTCTTTTATGAGAAAATCTTAACTTGATTCCTAAGAAAACTTGTTTTACACTAAAATTCTAAAATGGTTTTTGGATTTATAAGACTAAACATATTTCCTAATAAAAAAATTGTAATTAATCGTTTAAAAAAACATTTTTTTGGATCACATGCCAGACACCTAATTAAAATAAAATTCTAAAAGAAAATTTTAAATCTTAGTCTGAATATTTCTTGAATGCTGATAATTAGAATTGGATCTTTAACTTATAAGTTGTAGATACAGTTATGAATTTCATACTCTGATATGAATATTGAGTGTTGGATATGATGACAATTGTCGAAAACTGATATGTCTCTTCTGACTATATGTATATCTGATTCATTTGAGTGTATGTAATGGTTATTAATAATTACTGATATATATTTAAATGAGGTAAACTGATTTCTTGAAATTGATTGTAAGAGGCATAAGCCGCATTACATACTTTCTATTCTAAAGTCAATAAGGTTTCACATCCAAGTGTCAGAAACAGATGATATGAATGTTGTGTCCTGGTATGCTGAACACTCATTTTTTTGGGAAGGGGAAGTCCTTACATATTCAAGGTGTTCTTTTGCATCAAAAGGACCAAAAGCATCCCTTAAATCAAAATTAACACAAGTAATAACTGTAATAACTGTAGTAAGTCAGAACCATGGATATGTTTCCAGGTTCAGGTTATCCTTGCAGTTTTTTGGTAGTTGTTTACTATTTTCCTCCCCAAATAAACCACAATTTAGTATTTCAGGAGCTAAAGATCAGTTGCTGTATTGGGACATGAATGGAAGAACTGATATTATATTAATGGTTTTCATATGCTTATATGACTTGATTATTAGCATATCTAGGTTTATAATTGCTTTCGTGTGATCATTTTGAACAAACTCACTTTTAAGGGATCATTTTTTTTGTCATGATGTATGGTTGTAATTGTTTGAAATTTTCTTGCAGGCTGATAGTGCAACTGCTGCTCTCAATTGTAGTGGGGTGGTGGTAGGATCTTTGCCGATAAGGTATTTAAGTATTCCATCCATACCTATAATCAAGTTTCCTATTCAAAATAGTTTTCTGAATGAGTTCTGATATTGATTTTTCAGGGTAAGTCCCTCAAAGACTCCAGTGCGACCTCGTGTACCTCGCCCGCAAATACATTGAACCTTTGCAGACTCATGAATCGGCTGATAGAACCGCCGGACCTACATGCATATAACCCCATCAAGTAAATGTTTTTGATATAGTTAGTTATGCTGCAGCATTTTCCTACAGGTCTTCGTAGTTTTTCTTAGCATATCGATATTACAGGATTTATATCTATTTATAGTAAGCTTCCGGAGTGGAATCTCCTAAACTCGAAAGCGAATGATGATTTTGTAGAAATTGTTCTGATGGTATGGGAAGTGGTCTACAAGGGCTGAAACTGAGTTTATTTGTCTCTGCTGCTGCATTTTTTGTGCAGAAATCTTGCATCTGTCAACTTATGTAGTTTTTTCTGTTAAGTAAAATGCTTGGGATCCTTTAGGAGATTCAGGAATCGGGGGCGTTTCCCAATATTACTTTCGAGGTTAGATGAAGAATTGGTAGCAAATGATTTACTAACTTCAGACATTCTGAGGCCTGGAGAGAAGTACTGAAGAGTTGGATGATGAATTGCTACAGTTTTTAGGAAAATTCTCTTTGCTTTTGCAATCTGTCCTTTGTAGTAGGCGATGCTTTGACCTCAAAAGGGTGTTGATATAGAAGTTGAAATTCTCTCTCATTTTGTGTTATAGTGATCGGGGAAAAAATGCAAATTTTGGCACACCATCTTACACTGGTTTTTTTTTGGGGGCGTGGGGGGCGTGTTGCAACTGCTACTTGTAGGCAAGTACGACAATCAATTGTTCGTTTTAGCTTATAATTACAATTGCAACTATTCACAAAATGATCTCCGGTTCATGACTTAAATCAGATTTAGAAGTAAGTCACAATTGCAAGCTTTGTAACTTTAATTGTTTGCAACTATGATTGTAAGTGACAACAATTGTAGCATTTACATTTGCATGCGGCTGGTGCGTGCATTGTAAATACAGTTTCAGTGAACCAAATGACCCTGAAGACTTTGTTTCTCTCTATTGAGTGCAAATGCTTCTGTAGAGCGTCCAATCTCTCTTCTACATCTCCTGTGTGAAAATTCAATTCCCATGGGACTTCTCAAGAAATGTCGAGGATTTGCATCAGAACTATTTGGGAATTTCCCATCTTGGGTTAACAAGTACGAACGATGAAGAACAAAAATAACTCAATTCATAGTCCAATTCATGATTTTATCGATCCATTTGTCATTATCTACAAAATATTGAAATCAAATTTTCTGGAGTTGTTCGGGGGTGAGTTTGGTTTTGTATAGTTGGAACAAGAAATATGTTTGCAACACTGTAGCTTTTAACTCCTGTTATTGGAACACTCTTTAATTTCAACAGTGTTGCGAGTCCATTATTTTTGGCCTGTTCTCGCTTTACAAACATTTTGGTTTTGTAACAACTATTAACCAAACACCTGTTGCCCTGCTATATCACGCTCAAGTAAAACCAGTTTAATGGTAGACTGCTAATAAAGATGCAAAATATTATGACATGTTCTTTTATATATATATATATATATATATATATATATATATATATATA